AAATTCGTGCCACGACTGCTGACTGCTGAACAAAAACAAGGTCGCGTGGAAGCATGCTGTGCTTTGAAAGAAGAGTCCCTAAATGATCAAAACTTTTTTTCAGCATTTTGCTGATGTTGCTGGGGTGAAGGGAAAAAACGACGGAGGCACTGTCAAGCATCTCAAAAGATGAATTTAGACAATGTTTTGAAAAATGGAATAAAAGACTAGACAAGTGTATTAGTGTAAGTGGAGAGTACTTTGAAGGGGACTGAAGGTTTGTGCTTAAAATTTGAATAAATAAGTTTAAAAAAAAATAAGTTCGGTTTCTTTTGGGTACCCCCTCGTACAATGGCAGTGGATGATTTTCCTAAGCATAGAACAGACGCATGAAAGCCAACAGAAATTTGGGTCACTTGGTTAATTTTAAAATAGAAACTCTCAGAGTATACAAAATCCAAACCCTATTGTGCTGATTCTTTAATAAATTCATGTGCTGCTCAACTCCACGATTACAATACATTAGTGTATAAAAACGGGAATGATGTCCCCTACCATATGTTACATCTCCCAGAAGGGAATATGGGTAGTGCTGGCAGTGTACAACCTTCAAAGCCACCTGCACTTGAAAGTCTATTGGCCACCTACAGAAACTTTCTTCCCTTAAGTGGAGGTATGAACACTTGCAATTCTTTTGTTCAAGACTCCACAGATGATGGTATCACAGGCATGCAAATGCTAAGCAGTCTCTCCATTGCTTAGAATCTTTCACTATAAAAACAAGACACTATCTTCCTGACATATACTGTACAACTATTCTGACTTGAAATGCTGTTTTAAAACTAAGAAAACACACAACTGAAGCCCCATATTAAAAACTATAACTACGCATGTGTTCAAATCAGATTTGAATACCATCAATGTTTTCATGAATCTAACAACTGATGATATAACAACTTTCAGCTACCTCTTGGTGTTATTCTGGAAGAATTCCAGGATCAAAATGTCAGCAAAGCAAGCACTTCTGGTAAAGGTAAAGCTATCCCTGTAACAGGCCATGGAGGTCCATAGTGTTGTGAGATGTTGAGGTTCCCACATTTTCTAGATAACTGGCTCACAGATGGCAGTGAGGTTGTCAGCCTTAGGCACTGGCTGCCCTTTACCCCCAGGAAGATTCCTGGTACTGATTTCTGTTACAGGCTGAGTCAACCCCAGTGCTATAGTGTGGCTGAAAGGATTAGCTAAATTGAAAAAATCCAGCTTGTAGGGATTCGATCCTGCAACCTTCTGGCTTGTAGCATAGTGCCTTAACCAAATATGCTACCGCAAGCCCCCAAGCACTTCTGCAATTATGAAATTCAAGTGTTTGAACATTCCTTTTTGTATACTAAATCACCTGGGTCAATTCTTTATGGAACCAAGTGACTATTTCGACACCCCCATGTACAAAATCCTGCCCTTCATTTGAAGCGCAGGATTGCTGAGGGGATAATCGAAAGAAGCACAATAGATCACTGTAGGTAGTGGTGCAAGGGCCAAGAAGGCCCACCCCTTATATATTTATTCATTTGTATACTAAATTAACTTCACAACTCCTTCATTTTTACTGGAAACTGCCTCCCTTGTCAGAAAATTCCATCAATTTCATGTCCTTGGGACATACCATGCCATCATACTATTGTTGTAACAGTACTGTTTTCTGAATATGGATATCTGCCACCACACAGTTAGTATGGATCATGGTGAGAGGGAATTTTTCAGCAGATGTAAAATGGCTAAAACCAGTGCAATTATTTTCATGCAACTGGCAATAGAATAACCCCATTATCATGTTCTGACAAGAAAATAACAATTTTATTGTGCATACAGGAGCTTCAATCCTGCATATGACCCTTCCTAGTACATTTAATGATAGTGAACAGATTGTAAAGTTTTAGAGCATTAAGCATATTGAAATAAGTAGTTACTATAGGATTCTGATGATGGTGTATAACACACTGAGATATTGGGTTTTCGGACTTTATCCATTGTCCTGGTTTTTAAGATAACTAAGAAAAACATGACGTTTCGGAAACTGGATCTGTTTCTGTCCTCAGGTGAGGTGTCCAGTGATTGAGGCTAGCTCTTTCTAAGGGACCCAACAGAATAGGTGTTTTCCCTCCCCTGAGGATGGAAACAGATCCAGTTTCTGAAACATCGCGTTTTTCTTAGTTATCTTAAAAACCAGGACAATGGATAAAGTCCGAAAACCCAATATCTCAGTGTATAATGAAATAAACTTAAATAAACTTTGTTGGATTTGAGGTTCTCACAGCAGGGGTTAACAGTCTTCAGACAGAACTCGCAATGAGTTGTATTTGACGGTAATAAATAATGGTTATTTTGATTCTAAAGGGGTGGAACTCTCAGAATTACTAAGTTTTTGGACTCTGTTCATCATCAGTATTCTAAAAACTACATAACATTACATTTCACATTTATGTCCATTCTCAGGTGAGGGGGGGAAGACCCCTATTCTGTTGGGTCCTTTAGGAAGAGTTAACCTCAATCAAGATCCAGTTTCTGAAATGGTGTGGCTTCTAGTTTCTAGAATACCAGACAATGGACAAAGTCCAAAAACCTAGTAATTCCAGAGGCTATTTAATTATTGAGTACAATGGTGAAGATCCAGATATTACTTTTCGCCATGAAGTATATGGAAGGAAACAGTCCTGAAATATTTAAGGTTCCATCTTCAAATTTATCAGACTGAAGGGCTGCATTTCTCCAGTAAGTTGTTTCATTAGTTATGAGTTAAAACAAGTAGTGCACATCCACAAATGAAACAGGAATGCTACCTACCATACTGTCATAATCACTACTTAGATTGAAAGATCACACCATTTTGTAAAATACTTTTAGCATTCATGGTCCATGTTCTCCAGGAGAGGGTAAAACTAACCTGGAGACCAATGACACCATGAATGTAGTTATGGTGTATGTAGATGAGGCTCCAGAAACCATCAGACAGGTGCATGGATGAGCCCGGAGCTGGTCTGGATATTGTGATAAATGAAAATATTACTGAATCTGTCAAGACAAAGATTTCCTGCTGTTCTCATCATATCAAGAAAACTCTAATCCACTCTCATATGGAAAAGCAATGATGATGCAAGGCTACATTCATATTCTTATTCCAAGAAAATATCTAGCCTTATATCAATTTACCTTCTATGAAGTAATTATGTTCCTGCAGAACACTACATTTGTGCAGTACCTTCTTTGATAGATTTACAAGAGTATGAAAAATACATGGTTCAGAGTATTTAGCATTTAAGCAGAAAAACATAAATTTGTATATAAGATGTGAAGGGTTCACAGTGGACAATGCATCAAAACTTTCTTGGCTGAAGTTTCTGACAGAAACATGATATAACTGATTGTCTGAAAGATTTTAGTATAGACAATTATATAAAGGGTGTTTCACTCTGCGGAACCCGGCATTTCGTTAATAACTCGGATACTAATAAAGATACTGCAACTAAATTTTAACAGTACTGTAAAGTAGCACGTCTGTTCCATGAGAAATGAAGTGTGCGTGTAATGCGCCATCTGAGTCTTGCGACATGGAGTAGCAACGGCGTTGATGTGTCATGCCCGTTAATCAGCTGACCTTATCTGCATCTGGTGTGTCGTGCCAGTCTAGCCCCTGCGTACTCGCCTCTGCTGGTCTCATTTGTTTTTGCACTTTTGGCTGAGGGTGTTTAGACAGTGCGGTTGTTCTTCTCGAGTGTTGTTCGCCAGTGTGAAGTGAAGTGCGTACACAATGGAAAATGGATCAGTGCACCCTGGAGTAGCAAGTGTTTATTGTGCACCCATATTGGAAAATGGAATCCATCAAGGCATGTCAACAACAATTCCTGGTGAAGTTTGGAGGCAGAGTTCCGCCGAATAAGTCCAGAATTTGGGCCTTGTCCAAAAAACTTGAAACCAAGGGGACACTTTTGGATCAGCACACAGGAGGTCGTCCAGTAATGTCAGCGGAAACGATCCAGGATGTGAAGGCCCGACTGCTGGCGTTTCATAAGAAGTCATTGCGCCGAGTTTCACAGGAATCAGGTCTTTCAACAAGCACTTGCTATCATGCTGCGAAGACATCTAAGCTTCATGCATACCGAATCCCTGTGGTGCACAAGTTAAGAGCCAGATTACGCGAAGAGAGTGGCGTACTGTCAATGGTTACAGACCCTTGTCCAGGATAATCCAGACATTCTGGACTACACTTGGTTTTTGGATGAGGCGTGGTTCCATCTTTCCGGATACGTTAATTCACAAAATTGTCGCATTTGGGCAAGCGAGAATCCCAATGCGATACACGAAGAACCCCTTCATTTCAAGAAGATTGGTGTTTGGTGTGGAATTTCCCGGTGGCACATAATTTGACCCATTTTCTTCGACACGACAATCACAACAGCAGCGTACCTAGATATCTTCCACTGCTTTGTGAATCAACTGGACAATGAGGAATTATCCATCGGTTATTTCCAGCAAGCTGGAGCAACAGCACATACTTCGCGCGCAAGCATGGCCGAAATCCAGTCTTTTTTCAGCGACCGCGCCATTTCCAGGGGACTTTGGCCAACGCGCTCACCCAATCTAATGCTGCCTGATTATTTTTTGTGGGGACATTTGAAAGCGCAAGTTTACGCCAACAAACCACAAACCATAGAGGCTTTAAAAGCAAACATAAGTGAGGCCATCTAAGAAGTGACACCTGACGTACGGGCAAGGACTTTCCAAAACATGGCGTGCCGAGTCCAATGCTGTCTGGATGCAAATGGTGGCCATTTCCAGCATTTGTTATGATGTCACAGAACTTCACATGAACTGAGGTAAGTCCACCTCAAATTTTGTTGGAATATCTTTATTAGTATCTGAGTTATTAACAAAATGCCGGGTTCCGCCCCGAGTGAAACATCCTATACTTCAGAGGTCAGTATAGAAACTTCTATACAAACACCTGCAGATAAAACCAAGTATACTATGATGTCACATAAAATATATTTCTACAAAGTCATGACATAATTATATCCAATAAATTGTTTTCAAGCATGTTGGGCTTAAAAGCACAACAGAACAACAACGAAACAACTGACACGAACATCATGGTCTTACAATCCAATCTTTCCTCGTAAAATCAGAAATGTCAGTTAGAAACATGGTAACAATAATATTTGTCATGTTCATTAAATAACATTTTCTCACAAAATGTACTTGTATAAAATTTTTAACACCAGAACTCCCACCCATCTTAAAGTGTTCTAATAATGCCACTGAGTTTAGAACAAGAAGTTCATGTAAGAATCTTCAACCCTGCATGTGACTCCACTGCATTATACTTTGCCAGTAAAGCGATGGAACTTATTGTAAGTGGTGTAGAACGTCTTCAGTAGCAGCTGTGATGCTGGTGTCAGAGTGCGAGACAGGAAGAGTATGGCATGGGAGTCACATATGCTCAGCAGACTGTGTATGCAGTTCGAGTAATGGATCTGTAACACATAATCATCCGTAATATACAACCTCGACAACAATGACATCAGACAGTAACTAATGCTCATTTAACATTATTTAGTTTTACCAGTTTTAATTCTGAGTCCAATACTTTCTACCAGCCAGCAGTGTAGTAGTGTGACTGATGACAAATTATAAAGCTCTCATATAGCTGTTCCATGAAACAGAAATGAGACTGGTAACAATGACCCATCACTTCTTGCTGCCTGCAGCATATGGTAGGCCGCACACCGGCATGCGTCAAGATATGATGCAAAGAAAGGAGCACACTTGAAACAAATAAGATTATGAAAACCGCCACACACTGGTCTGAGTCATGATGCTGACGAATCATGAATGAAGCAAGATTGCATATTTTGTCTCATGTCTTGATGCAGTTGGTGTGGCTGCCCTAAGAGGTACTGAGGAGTATTTTCAGCACTACTCAGCACTCCCCTCCTGCTCACATTTGCTCAACTACACTATGCTGGCAAGAATACAAGATGGCCTGCCTATACCGTGAATATATTGCATAAACTTTCATCCCTGCAAAGTTTTTTGCTTTACTGGAAATTATACCACAACCTCTTAAGTTTCCAGATGCTAAATTAGATTTTTTATATTCAGTACAATAAATTCAAAATAATCACTGACATATTTGTAAACCCCACCTATTGTTCAGTATGTAAACTATTTTGATTTTTACCCAGTGACATTAAGAGCCATCAAAGAAGCTAACAGTACAAGTGTACCCACTTACCTTGACCTCAGGGTAGAGAGTATATGTCTCAAAAAACTGCAGAAGGTCAGCCACTATGTATGCTGCCACTCTCACAAAATATGGTTTATGTTCCTTTAACAAGTTTGTAAGTCTGCAACAGAACATATCATAGATTCTGAGATTCACAAAAACACATGGTGACATTTATGATTATAAAACTGCGTGCTGGGCTTCTTGGCACTGTGCTTATGCGCCATGTTTCATTACAAACTTAAAATTCAAGGAATCATTTAATGGACTGACAATGCAATGTTTCTTAGCTTATGACCCACAGACCAGTACCAGTCCATGATATTATCAGAACTAGAATAATTACAAGTATTTTCAACAAGCCAAGCGAGCTACACACTAGCTTGAAGCAGGTAGCAAGCTGTGCATGCTGGCTTATTATTTGACCCTGTATCGTGACAATCTAAGACAGCGCAGGAGTTCTTTCCCAGACCATCATGACACAAGTCACTCACCTCTCCAGCCCATGGGCACAGACTGCATACTGCTTAACCTCTGCTGCAGAATACCTCAGGTCAACATGACCATGAGAAGCTACTGTTGTTGCCAACTGTCGATAACACTGAAGGAAAGAAGGAATGCAATCCAGCACTACGGATTCACGAAATTTCATGAGCACCTGAAGCAGCTGTAATGACACGGAGCACAGGGAGAGTAGCTCTGGTGAATCTACCGCCAGTGCAGTAGTAACACTCTCAAAACAAAGATCAAGCATCTCTGGAGACATGAAAATCTGCAATGAAACAACTGAGAAAATATAGTCTGTTTTGAAAAATATTTAGATCTGTGTGTGTGTGTGTGTGTGTGTGTGAGGTGTCAGTACAGTTAAGGTATTGAGACAAAGAAGGTTACTTGCTGGACATGAAGAAGACATACATAAGAAGCTCATTAGGAAACTGCTTGAAGAGGAAGTTAGGAATAAGTGACACTGTGGTTTGCTGCCAGTTCCTCATAATGCAGGCCTGGATTTCATCCCAGGAAAGTCCTTAAGGAATTTACATGTGTGTTCTTCAAGCCATGTAAACAGGTCCCCTCTCATCATGGTATGGCATGCCCTCAGACTACAGCTAGAGGAGATGCTATGAATATACTGAATAAATACTTTCAGCTTGGACATTGAGTGGATGTGGGTGAGGGTTAACAGAAATTGGGTACAGCGGCTGGCTCTTCTGAATATGAACAATTACATTTCATATTAAGTGGAGAATATCCTGACCATATGAGTAACTATCAGCTTCTCAAGAGAAATTTTTGATCCATGGAGTTAGTTTTCTTTTTTTTTGGGGAGGGGGGGTAATGTACCATGGATTGCCTCAGTATACGGTCATTCCCCTCCTTGTTCCTCACCTATCTATTACTGCTCCAAGCTTTACTGTTCAGCATTCAACAGCCATGGTTCTAGAGCCAAGGTTTCATCTCTGGTCTGGCAATTCATCAGAAACAGTGTAAGGAAGTTTTAACAATTGAGTGGAAAACTAAAATTTTGGATGCTCACATGACTGTTTATGAGCTTTCCCAAGAATATGATGGAAACTTTGTATAGATGATGATGATGATGGTGATAAATTTCATTACTAACCAAAGACTTTTGTGTGATGGTCAACAGAAGTTCAAGAACTGGCAACATGCTGCTCTCCCCAGATGTACCATGCATGACACGACACCGATTAACAAACACTGTTAGCATCTGACACAGTTGCTCCAGTGCCATCTTCCTAGCATTGATCCTGCCATCACTGAATCTGCTTTGAATGACAGCTTTCCAAATTGACAATCTTGCCCTCAGGATTTCAGGCTTTTCTGAAGACTGAACTGCAACTTTCTGAAAGAGAAATAATGTTCTACTTGTACAGGGAACATCATAATCACAAAAAGTTTAATTTTATAACATATGGACCACAAACTGTAGTTTCATGAGAATATAAACCAGGTAACTGTATGCTAGTACTATACTATGAAGATGTAAAGTTCCACATACTCTTAACTTCTGCACTAGATAGGGGTGAGCGGTGAACTTCATGCTGCATGCTTTAACCCCAAGAATGCCTCACACCCGTTGTCTAGGAGGCTGTGTGGACTCAAGAGCCAATCAGAATGTGACAACAAGGGCAAAACTCCTGGCAATGTTGGGAATCAAAAACCAGCTATCCAGCCCACAGCCAGCCACGTTACTGGCAGGGGTATCTCATTCACCATGATGATACGAGGGCAAATCGAGAAGTCCTTGCCCCTATTTTTTTTCAGCCACAATAATACACATCATCATCATCATCATCATCATCATCATCAGTAATCTGTCAGATGACAGGTCCACAGTCTCTTCCAAAACAATTCCTCCACATAATGCGATCTAGAGCTTTCTCCTTCAAATGACCGTATCCTCTTCTGTCCCCAAGGTCATCCAGCATCTTCTTACATCTTCTTCCTCGTCTTCTTGTCACTTCTATCCGCCCTTCTATCTTTCCTTCAATAACTTCTTTTAGAAGGCAGTTTCTGCATAAAAGATGACCAATCCAATTAGCCTTCCGTTTTCTTATTTCGTGTAGGATATTCCTCTGCTCACTGACTCTATTTAACACTTCTTCATTTCTCACATAATCGGTCCAACTGATCTTCTCCGTCCTTCTCCAACACCACATTTCGAAACTTTCCAGATGTTTCTGATCTACTGCCCTAAGTGTCCATGTTTCAGCCCCATACAGAGCTATGCTCCAAATGTAGCATTTCACTAGTTTCTTCCTCAAATTTAAGTCCAATTTGCTGGTAAAA